AGTATTATGTTTAATTACCAGTTAATCCTTTATTTTTATCATTTTTAGAATTTAACCTCTTCTTATACTTTTTATTTTTTTCTCATTGTTTTTATCATTATTTTTTTGTCACTTCACTAAATTTATTGTGATTTGTTTGTTTATTTTTATTATACTAACATTTTTCCTATCTTTATTTTATTTATTTTATTTCTTCTAACGTTTTTAGCTTTGTAGAGAAATCCCAACTGATCAGCGGTAAGTAATTTGAATCGAATAATTTAAATTTTAATTTAAATTTTTAATTTTCGTAATTATGACAACCGAAAAATTAATTGGTACCGAAAGGGCGGTTCAAGGGTGCTAATCCTTCCTTGACCGTAACCGACTCCCGAACCCGACACGTTTCTGGTAAAACACAGATCAGGTAAGATGATGTCCGACCTACCTAAATTCGTTTTAAAATGGTCGGTGGCGACTCCTAATTCATTTTCCTAAGTCGAAACCCAATTCCGGGCCCAACCGAAAGACGATTCCAACACCTATATCTATTTATTTTATGCATGAAGCATCTTTTGCATGCTATAAACAGTCGTGTTACGAGTGGAGCCTGGAAACAAATTCATCTCGATATTTCCCATTTATTTTTTGCATACGACTTGATGTTGTTTGTGAATGCCTCTTTGGACCAAGTGATGGTTACTACAAAGGTAATGAAACACTTTTGTGCTTGTTCTGGACACCGTGTGAGTACGGTTAAAACACAAATTTTCTTCTCCAAAAACTGTGATGACACCAAGAAGAATATGATAGCCCAAAGCTTCGGATTTGAAGTGGTTAATAATCTAGAGAAATATCTAGGTGTTCCTTTGCTTCATAGCAAAGTGACTAATGCCACATACAAATATCTTATTGAAAAATGGAGCAGAGATTATCATGGTGGGCAGCTAAGACATTATCCTTTGCAGGTCGTATAACTTTAGCAAAAGCTGCGTTGTAAGTGATATCATCCTATGCAATGCAGACCACATGGTTACCAAAAGGATTTTGTGCTACATTGGAAAAATTAATCCGTAGACTTTTTTGGAATACGGCTGAGGGCTCAAATACACTTGCATTGGTTAAACAAGATATAGTCAAACTTCCAAAAGAGAATGATTGTTTGGCTATTAAAGATCTAAAGAGTCAAAATAAGACTTTCCTTTTAAAGGTTGGAATACAATTACTCCAAGGGAATGACAAGTTGTGGGTTAAGGTGATCAGAAGTAAATATCAATGGTCTGATGGTATTCCTGTTGAAAGTAGGCGAAAGAGATGCTCCAGATTATGGAAAGGTTTGAACTGTGTTTGGGGACATACAAAATAACATCTTTTGGAACATCCGATATGATAATCAAACTAAATTTTGGAATGATATTCAGTTGGATAGCACGAAACCGTTGGCCACTCACAGTTTAATTGGAGCAAACACCCAACCTACACCGGTCAGCTCCATGGTTACGGCTTCAGGTAATTGAAATTGAAACTAGTTGAAGAAAATTATTCCTAAGCACGTCTGTCATAGGATTGCCTCTACATGTCCTCCTACTCCTGCTCTTGAGGAAGATGCCTAGGGTGACGGTGGAAGCCAAATCATAAGTTTACGATTAAGTCGACCTACAAAATTTTGTCACTGCCGATGAAAAATGATGATGATATAAGGTGGAATGATGTTTGGTAGCTTACTGTGTCTCAGAGAATTAGAACGTTCCTTTGGTTAACTCTTCATGGGAGACTGTTAACTAACGAGGAGAGATATCATCAGCATATCGCCTCCTCTACTAGATGCGGACTGTGCCAAAGTGAAGTTGAAGATGTAAACAACTCACTCCGTCGTTGTACGTTTACTTTCAATATTTGGCGCCAATTGATTACTGCCGATGAACTCTAGGTTTTTACCACAATGCCGTTTGAGAAATGGATTCTTACCAATGTGAGAGGACAAGGTAACTTCCCACTAAATGAGAGGCACTAGAGAAACCTTTTCACCATAGTTTGTTGGTAGATCTGAAAGAGAAGATGTAACATCTTGCTCCAGTAGAATTATGTTGATAAGGAAGATTTATTAACTCAAAGCTTTCGGCTTAAAAATGATATTATTACAGTGGGTGAGAATGAAACAGGTCCTAGAAGCTTGCAGAGGCACCAAGTACAGTGGCAGAGAGCAGCTACGAATTGGGTTAAAGTTAATACCGATAGAGCCATGGGAGGTCTGTCAAAAATGGCGGCTGTCGGAGGGGTTATCAGAGGTTCGGCTGGTGAATCGATCATTGGTTTTTTCCGGAGAATAGGTGTGCGTTCTGCCTTGAACACGAAGTTGTGAGCTATACACGATACCTTGCTGCTTGCTTGGAACAAAATAGAGGTAGAGTTAGATTGTGTTACTCTTGTAATGGTCTTTGACTTGCTCACCAGCTCTAAGCAAGTAATGGTAGCTAATGCCATTGTCACGCTGATTCAGGAATTAATAGACAAAGATTGAGAAATACACATATGGCATATATGCCGAGAGGCGAACACAGTAGCAGACAAGTTAGCTAATATGGCAAAAGGGTATCCGATCGGTGTGCAACTGCATCAAGAACCTCCAACAGAGGTGGCTGTTTTGGTGGATCATGATCGAACTTTCATGATCTAAGCTTGTTCCTTTCAGTATTATCGAAAAAAGGGATTAGAGAAAATGTTAACAAATATAGAAAATATAATAATACTCCCTCTACCCCCATTTAAATTCTCTTATTGACATTTTTGTCAAATGTTTTTAACTTTTACTCATTATTATTTAAAATTTATTATTGATAAAAATATGTCAAATATATTTTAGAAACCTTTAATCAAGTTTTTGAAATATATATTTAATAAAATTTAATTATTTTAAATAGGTAAAATAATCATGATTAAAGTTTAATTTTTTTTAAAAAAAAGCCAGTAAAGGATAAGTTTAGTAGAACGAAGGTAATATAACAGATTAGAATAGTGACAGATTTAGAAATATTTTTTTAAGATTAACACATATATTAATTATAGAAAATTTTCAAATGAGATATAACAAAATACGAGATACAAAAAGCCAAAATTGAGAGCTCTGTTGCTCTAAGTTAGACAATGTTAAGTGGAGATGATGTTGAACGTTGAGTTACTAATACATGCTAACTAGGATGTTGAAGTCATTAGATTATGTAACATGATTTTATGTTAAGAAAATAAATTTATAAAATTATAAGGGGACATGTACTTATAAAAATTTATGATTTTATGTTAAAAGAATAAATTTATAAAATTATAAGGAGAGATGTACTTATAACAATTTAACGGACGAAAATAAATTTTCAATAGAAAAAAAATAGAATACAATATATTTAATTTTTGTAAAACAAAAATTAAAAATGTTATAAAGGTAACCAATATTAGATTCCCCTAGCATTTAGGATATATGTATTTTACATATTTCAAAATTTATCTACCCTTTAGATATATTAAAAAACACCAACAAATTTTCTTTTAAGAAGAAAAGAAATCAAAACACGAATCAAACAACCTTTGTAATTAAAGGAAATTTTTTTTTATATTTAGAGATCTCGAATTTGAACACATCACTTGCATAGATATATGAATAATAATTAAATATATTTAAATAAATATTATCTTATAATTACACCATAAAAATGACAGCTAAGATAGATTTAGAAAACCCAAAGTTAAACCTATTGGGTTACAACATACAAATAAATTTTGAGAAAATAACCTCAGTGACCAAAAATCCTAGATAATATACGATTTTGACTAACTTTTTTTGGATTTGCGAAAATGACCAATAAAATCGCAATGCGATCTCTATTTTCCATTTCGCGTTGCGATAGTCTATAGTTGTCGTTGCGATTTTCCAAATTCGTTGCGATTTCCCAAATTCGTTGCGATAGTTAAAAAAAAGATTTTGTTTCTTAAGAATTTTCTCTAAAAAGATAGTATCCGCGCGGACGTGTCGAAGACACGTATTACCATTACCATTACCATTACCATTACCATTACCACGACCACGACCCGACCCGAGACGAGACGGACGGCGGCGGCGGCGCGCGAGAGTCCCCCTTGTTCTCTATCACTCAACAAGGAAGTGGGAAAGCCAAGCCTTAAATACCATTCCCAATAGTGTTTCCAATACTATGTGGGATTTGAACATTACCAACACTTGTTCCCACCTAAAGAAAATCTACCACGTCAGATGCATTTGGATGACATTATTCACAAAAAGTACCAGTTTCTCAAAATGGTATATCACTTTGTAAATGACAAGCAATTTATAATGTAGAGCAAGTCAGATTCATCATGCTTGGTTTTAGTTAAAGCACTCCATTTTTCTATTATAGGCAATTAACTTTCAAGTTGTTAATTTTATTAATAACAATTAACAATGGTAGCACACTCCTTCCTTTCAATGTGTATTATTGTGCAGAGGGCTTATGCCTATACCACTAACAGGAATATTTACTCATGGTTAGATGCTAGTGCTAGTAATCGCAAACTCAAGGCCCTGTATAATGATATAACAGGAGATTAACCAATGATTTATTTGTGCAGTTATCAGATGAAATAGGACATAAGTAGTTGAGATTTTAACATCAAGCAATCCCAAGAAATTTCAGCTAAATGAGAAGCTTAAATGCCTACCTGCAAGCCATAAACCACAATTTGATTTCCTTCATGACGAACACCACTAACCAACACTGTATCAATAGTATTGGGAATAAGTGTTGGTAATGCTCAAATCCCACATAGTATTGGAAATACTATTGGGAATGGTATTTAAGGCTTGGCTTTCCCACTTCCTTGTTGAGTGATAGAGAACAAGGGAGACTCTCGCGCGCCGCCGCCGCCGTCCGTCTCGTCTCGGGTCGGGTCGGGTCGTGGTCGTGGTCGTGGTCGTACGTGTCTTCGACACGTCCGCGCGGATATTATCTTTTTAGAGAAAATTCTTAAGAAACAAAATCTTTTTTTTTTAACTATCATAACGAATTTTCGCAACGAATTTGGAAAATCGCAACGACAACTGTAGACTATTGCAACGCGAAATGGAAAATCGCAACGCGATTTTCAACTATCGCAACACGAAATGGAAAATCGCAACGCTATTTTCAACTATAGCAACGCGAAATGGAAAAACGCGCAATGCGAATTAGAGATCACATTACGATTTTGTTGGTCATTTTCGTAAATCTAAAAAAATTAATCAAAATCGTATATTATCTAAAAATTTTTGTCACTGAAATTATTTTCTCATAAATTTTTAGTGGATCAGCCAGCCCACAAAACCCACCAAATAAAAAAAACTGAAATGCAACTCAAATTCAAAGACCAAATAAACCTTGAAAAATACCACAGGAACGCTTCAATAATAAGGCTCAAATCGTAAATTCGTTTATAAAAGAGGGCCGTTCAATGACCCGGAACTCTGCTAAAACAAAACCCCACGTTTCCCCCTGTTCTAATCAATCTAAACAAAAATCAAAAGAAGAGAGATTTTCTCATAAATCAAATAAATCAAACAGAACCCAGAAAGAAAAGAAAATTAAATCCTTCTAAGAGTTAACTAAACTTTTCTGATTCGGTTCATGTGAACCATCGTTGATACTTCACAATGTTTTTCTCTAGAATTTCTCGCGCTCTCTCTCGCTCTAATTTCCAAACAGTAATAATGTTTATTTCCTGCATTCTATATGTATTTTTAATTTTTAATGCTATCCTTTTTATTGTTTTTTTAGTTATATGAATGCTCGTTTTCATTTTATAAACAGAATGGTCCAAGCGTTCCAAGCGTTAATCAAGGGTTAGGGCTTGTAAGGGGTTTTTTGGCACCAGCTGGAGGTGGGAAGAAGCTTATTTCCAATACACGATTGTCGAATTTGGATTCTATTCTCTCAAACCCTAGGATTAGGCGATTTTTCTCCAGTGAAGGACCTAAGAAAAGAAGTGAGTGAATTAATTATTGTATTGTGTGTGTGTGTTTTTTTTTACTTATTATCTAAATTTTACACCCTTTTTATTTGAATTGTTGTAGATTATGAAAATTACTTTCCCAAGAACAAGAAAGATATTCCTAAGGCTAATGAACAGAAATCTGGATCCAAAGGTACGTTTTTTTATCATTTCTTTTGAATTTTGATTAGGGATAGATAATACTAAGTGCCTTGGTAAATTAGAACTTTGATAGTATGGAAAGTGTTACTGTCTGATTTAGTTATAATATTGAAACTAGTGAAAGATGTCGACTTATTTATAGGTTTGTCCGAATTCAAGGCTTCTTGGTGACTGTGTTTAAATATTTGGGGCTTATTTTTATGTGATTTTCCAGAGGATTCAAATTCTGGTGAACCTGGGAATTCCCCGAACATGCAAAAATTGGTGCAGAACATTGTCACCACTTTATTGTTGGTTGGGATTACATTCTCATCATTATCAAGCCCTCGAGATCAGCAGGAGGTTAGCTTTTCGTCTTTTTTTTCAAATTTAGTTAGACTGGTTCTTATACAATCTATTGCTTTGGATGGAGAGGAAAGTCTTAACAACAAAGAAAATTGAAAGAATATGATAAATTTAATTGAATTAGGGGTGAAAAAGGCTATGGGATTTCCAGCAACCAATTCTATTGAAATATTCTTAATGATAACAATAATCCCCTAACCTTCTAGTATAGTCTTTATAATAGAACTCTCACTAATATTAGAATAGTTGTATTAGAACTTTTACTAACCGTCCCATGCTAATCACATAACTATTTAAAACAAAAGATAAAATTTTAAAAAAATTAACATAAAACTGATAATTAAAAACTAATCCTAAACATAAAATAATCTTGGATGCACCTGCGTCATTGTTACAAGGCACCACCTTGATGATAACATTTTCATGGCATGCTAAAACTTGAGATATCCTTTCATTGTTCTTTCTTACAAAACATGAAGTTAGGTGAGTTAGTGTATTGAATGATATAGTTTAGGGCTCTCTGAAGTGAACTTGTCTTTCTTGTTCTAGTGAAACTGCTAATCTTCATGATTCTTGTTGCAGTTGGTCTTCCGTCTTTGTGAAACTTCTTGGACTTAGTTTAATCTCTTTACATCTATATATCACTTATGTTCAAGAATGTAATTATGAAACCCTTAAAACCTAAGTTCAATTAAACAAAAGGGTGAAACCAGAACTAGGAACAGTCTGTTGAAGTTGATGACTTTTGTGTGTTTCATGGGCTATACTAGCAAAACACTGGACCAATATCAGGTGGAAAAATATATGTGCCTTAAGCTAGGTTTAAGCTTCTATCTGACTCTGCTCCCCTGATAAAAAAAGAAAAAAATAGAGGTTTTGTCCCCCCCGGCAACTGTTTTAATTTCTGGTCTTCTCTCTTTTCAAATTTCTTTTCTATAAGTTGTTTGGTGTGTTCTTCAGATTAGTTTCCAAGAGTTCAAAAACAAACTACTGGAACCTAGCTTGGTGGAAAAAATTGTTGTTTCAAACAAATCAGTTGCAAAAGTGTATGTGAGGAGCTCACCACGCAGTGCAAATCAAACAACTGATGATGTTGTAGAAGCTCCAACAAATGGTGGCCCTGCTCGAAGAAAGACAAGTCAATATAAGTACTACTTTAACATAGGAAGTGTTGAGTCTTTCGAGGAGAAGCTAGAGGAAGCCCAAGAAGCATTGGGGATAGATCCTCATAATCATGTTCCTGTAACCTATGTAAGTGAAGTGAACTGGTTCCAAGAGTTAATACGCTTTGGGCCCACACTCTTAATCTTAGGGTCCTTATGGTTTATGGGGAGAAAAATGCAAAGTGGATTTGGAGTTGGTGGTCCTGGGGGCCGAGGTGGTCGTGGAATATTCAATATTGGCAAGGCTCAGATTACCAAAATGGACAAGAATGCAAAAGACAAGGTAAACCTTCTTTAGAAGTTTTCTTTGGAACTCTATAACGCTGTTGTCATACTCATATGCAAAATGTTTGTTAAGCGGTCAACATTGTGATAATTCCTGCAATGGTTTACTTGATATCTCAGGTCTTTTTTAAAGATGTTGCTGGTTGTGATGAGGCAAAGCAAGAAATAATGGAGTTTGTGCACTTCTTAAAGAACCCAAAGAAATATGAGGAATTAGGAGCTAAAATTCCCAAAGGTGCTCTTCTTGTTGGTCCTCCCGGCACAGGGAAGACACTTCTTGCAAAGGCAACGGCTGGTGAATCTGGTGTGCCTTTCCTCTCTATGTCTGGATCAGATTTTATGGAAATGTTTGTTGGAGTTGGACCATCAAGAGTGAGAAGCTTATTTCAAGAGGCAAGGCAATGTGCTCCTAGTATCGTATTTATTGACGAGATTGATGCAATAGGTAGAGCAAGGGGTCGTGGAGGCTTTTCTGGTGGCAATGATGAGCGTGAAAGTACACTTAATCAGTTGCTTGTAGAAATGGATGGCTTTGGAACGACTTCTGGAGTTGTTGTGCTTGCTGGAACAAATAGGCCTGACATTTTAGACAAAGCCCTATTAAGACCTGGACGGTTCGACCGTCAAATTACAATTGACAAACCTGACATCAAGGGTCGTGACCAAATCTTCCAAATATACTTGAAGAAACTAAAACTTGATAATGAGCCATTGTATTACTCTCAGCGACTTTCTGCTCTAACCCCTGGTTTTGCTGGAGCTGACATTGCCAATGTCTGCAATGAAGCGGCATTGATTGCTGCGAGGAATGAAAGTGCAGTGATAACCATGGAACATTTTGAGGCAGCTATAGACAGAGTAATAGGTGGTTTAGAAAAGAAGAACAAGGTATGTTCTTCCTCATCATCTGCCTCTTTTTTTACTTGCGCACTGCATTATATTATTGGGATTCTATTCAACATAATGGTTTAATTATGCTACTGGAGATGTAATTAAGCCTAAGTTGAGTGATTTGAATTTCTAAATATCAAAATATGGTTTTTCGGTTATAAAATTAATTTTTTTATTACTTGTTCTCTGTTTGGTCTGCATTCTCCAGTTTAAGTAAAGATCTATGATCCTTCTGTTTTTCATTTCTGGCTGGTTCTAGCTACTAGTATTCTATGGAGCTTTATCTTATGTAACAATTTTATTCTGTTTTGCAGGTTATAAGCAAGTTGGAAAGGCGAACTGTTGCTTACCATGAATCAGGCCATGCTGTTGCTGGTTGGTTCTTGGAACATGCAGAACCGTTGCTGAAAGTAACAATTGTTCCTCGTGGTACTGCAGCTTTGGGATTTGCTCAGTATGTTCCTAATGAAAATCTTCTGATGACCAAAGAGCAGCTGTTTGATGTTACTTGCATGACACTAGGTGGTCGAGCTGCTGAGCAGGTGAAATTCCAGAACAACTTCTCATGCCTTTTTTTATATATAAATATCTTCCTGAATTAGAAAACAAAGACTTCTTTAGAACTTATAGATCTGAATTCAGAAAACATTATATGCCTGAAGGCCAAGTTTACCCATCCAAGCCTGAAGGCCCAACTAGGGGTGTTCAAAATTCGGTTTTAACCGAATTATCCGACCGAACCGAATTAGCTCGGTTAATTCGGTCGGCCACCGAATTAATTCGGTCGGAGAACGGTTAAGGATTTTTTTAGAATTCGGTTAATGTTAATTCGGTTCGAAATCGGTTAATTAACCGAATTAACCTTTAAATATAATTATATTAAGAGGCCCAATCCATTTAAAATCCATTTAAAACCCAAATCAATATTAATTAATTAAAATAATATCAAAACTAAATGCAAAATGTTTGAATCAAATTAATTAGATATTATTTATAATTAGATATTATTTAAATTAATTGTAAATTGTTTTTTTAATTAAAAAATATTAAATTCTAAAATTCTAAAAAATTTCGGTTAATTCAAAAATTAACCGAATTAACTGAAATTTATTCGGTTCGGTTAACGGTTAAAGAAAAAAAAGTTCGGTTAATTCGAAAATAGTAGTTCGGTCGGTTCGGCCACCGAATTAACCGAATGAACACCCCTAGGCCCAACCGATATTTGGGAGAGTTTGGATAAAATGTTAGGCCTGGAAAATGGGTTTGGTAAAAAAGGCCTGGTTAAAATATGGGTTGGGTTCGGACATAAATACTCAAAGCTTGAAACTGGCTGCCCCCTTTTTTTAGTTTCTAATATGTTATTTTTCTTTTCTTTTGTTCATGTTATTTAATTTAAATTATATGATAATTAATATATTGTATTATAACGTAATATTAAAAAATATGTGGTTTATGTTCAGAAATTTAATAATAAAAATATATAATGGTAGTAAATGAAATATATATAATTAATAAATATTAAATAAAAAACATAATTTAAAAATTAAATAATAGTATGGGCTGTCTGAACTTGACTCGGCTTGTCCCATGAACAATTTCCATTTCTAGGGTGAAATAGAAGCTTTAAGTATTGGTAAACATGTTGATCAGGCGGGTTTAGTTGATTTTTTATCAGGTTAATTGGATTTCAATTCTTTGGGTCATTTCGGATTCGGGTCATTTAGGTTTCACACTGAGGTTTGATATGTTTGTATTTCAAACATGTGTATTTGACAACACTACTCATGCATGCATGTACCTCACGTTTTTGGGTTCTGTTTTGATATCCTGAAATAGATCACATATCTCACGCGTCCGTCTTGTATATCAAGTTGAGATGAAATCATAGATGGTATTTATGCCTCACAACTGCTCTTCATTAGGTAGAAAGAGTAAAAGCATAATGGTTTGGCTGTAACATTTTTGCACTTTCTGGTTTGCATGTTAGATTTTTAACCATGCCATGCTTCTTTTATTTATGGGGAATAGGTTTTGTTGGGGAAAATATCAACTGGAGCTCAAAATGACTTGGAGAAAGTAACCAAGATGACATATGCCCAGGTGGCAGTATATGGTTTCAGTGACAAGGTTGGTCTTCTTTCTTTCCCTCTAAGGGATGATGCATTTGAGATGACCAAGCCTTATAGCAGCAAGACCGGTGCGATTATTGACGGCGAAGTTAGAGAGTGGGTGGGTAAGGCATATGACCGAACGGTGCAACTGATAGAGGAGCACAAGGAGCATGTTGCACAGATTGCAGAATTGCTTCTGGAGAAAGAGGTCCTTCACCAAGAGGACTTGGTTCGAATACTCGGGGAACGGCCATTTAAGTCGACTGAACCCACTAATTATGATAGGTTTAAGCAAGGGTTCCAAGAAGAAGACAAAGCATCCAAGGACACCTCAACAGATGCCAAAACTATACAAGATAATAATGGTTCAACACCCTTGGAACCTGAGGTAGTACCTGCATAGTATATCTATAAATTACAAGGTTATGTTTTTCCCTCATTAATTTGCTTACAAACTGAACTCTTAAGCTGTAAATGAAAGATTCTTGCCCCAACTGTGATGATCCCCCCCCCGGTTCGACTTGACCAACGGTTTCTTGATTTTGGAAAGCATTTTGATGTCTATTTGAAGTCAAGGTGGTAAAGCTTTGATCGAACTGAAATAGATTGGTTTTATAATTCGATCTTAAATGGTGAATAAAAAAATTTAAAACTAGTTGTACTAAAATTGTGGGTGTATTTGGTTCGGTTTGATTTAAAAAACTGAATTCAATCAAATTACACTAACATTATATTATTTTCTGAAAATGATAAAAACTGAAATTTTTATTTTGGTTCGATTTTATAATATTAAATTATTTATTATTTTTCAACTTAACTTCTATAAAAACTGAAAATTTTATTTTGGTTCAATTTTATAATATTAAATTATTTATTATTTTTCAAACTCAATATCCATAAAAAGTAAACATCAAGCTTGAATAGATGGCAAGCACACAACTACACAAATCATTATTAATGTTTGAGTAAATTTTTATTATGTTTGAGTAAATTTTTATTATTTTAGAAGGCTTAATACCTAAATAAATGCCCAAACTATGCATTTTTTGCCAAATAAGTGCGTACGAATTTTTTTTACTCATCTAGGTGTCTAACGTTACTCTTTTAGGTGCCCAAGTTATCAACGCCGTTAGTTTTTTCCTATTAAGTTTATAAAAAAATCATAGTTTTTTATATTATAAAACAACCCAAAATACTAAATCCTAACCTTAATCTGTCGCCGGCGCCTTCTCCGATCACCACCGCCATCGCATAGTTTTTTATATTATAAAACAACCCCAAAATACTAAATCCTAACCTTAATATGTCGCCGGCGCCTTCTCCGATCACCATCGCCATCGCGTAGTCCTTGACATCATCCTAATTATATGCCGTCGTAGTTGTCATCGATTCATCGTTGAAAATTTTCATCTTAGGGTTTGTGAGATTTAAAGCATCGATTTGTGGTTGATTGATTATCAACCAGTCATAATTTCATAGGGGTTACGGTAGTCGGGGGGAGGGAAGGGCGGGTGGAGCTTCTTCAAGGTAAAGGGTGGCGATCGTCGTGGGTTTAGGGGTTGAAATGAAAGTTTTTAAAGTTAAGGAGTTATTTCAAAATTTGCTTTTTCTTTTTAAAAAATATATATAAATTTATTTTTAAAAAATTATATATAAAATTTTTAAAATTACCAAATGTTAACAAGTGTCACTTAACGGGAAAGACTAATGGCGTTGATGGCCTGAGCACCTAAAAATGTAACGTCTGTAATGTTAGGCACCTGGATGGACCAAAAAAACCCGTAGGCACTTATTTGGCACAAAAGAAATAGTTTGGGCACTTATTTTGGAATTAAGCCTTTTTAAAACTAATAATTGATTAATAACGTTATCAATTTATAACAAATTAAGCACTCAATATTAACAATTGTTAACGTGTGTGACGGAAAGCTTATTTGATAATGTCGGTCACCTTTTTAATTTTAAATAAAAAAATCAATCCCTAAAACTTAATTTATTCTATTTGAATTTAAAACCCAGTAATTACTTTTTAAAGGAAAAAAAAAACAACATTTTACCCGTGAAGATTGAAGACTCCACGTACGTGCCAGTGCCATGAGAACAAAATATACAAATATCTTCTATTAAATTATCTCACAACACTGGAAAGGAAATGGCTGGCGAATGGCCGACGTGGCCATTGGTGGGACTCATAAAGGGTCTCTCTAAGGGTAGGCTAACACTTTCTTTTGTGTTGGTTAAAAGTTCTCAAATGGGATTTTGTTTTTGTTTAATTTTAATGATTTGGGGGTAAATCTTGGAAGGTGGTATATGAAGGTAAATATTACCAGCGCATGGATCGTTTGGTTTCTATGGAGAAAGGGTGAAGAACATGGGCCAATTGGTTGGACACCAATGTCGACATATCTAGAACTAGTCTTTTTTCAGGCTATTTCCCCGTCGGTATGCAACCTAAAATTCAGTTTAGGATTAAATTGAATTTTGATAGAATTCGGATGACCATTATGTAGAAGATGTAGAACTTTTGGTCATTTTTGAAACCCTGAAATGTTCAAGGACCAGTTGTGTGGTTTACGCATTTTTAATTAAAATGCAACCCTTTGTTTAAAAGTAAACTATATGGTAGACCACTAAACTATGATCAAAAATCACTTTGACTACTGATGTTTCAATTTGATCAAATAAATCACTCAACTATTTAAATGGTTCATCCAAGCCACTATCATTAATTTTTAACTGAGGAGGTGATGTGTCATTTAATGAAATTTGTATAATTATACTTTTGGTCCTCAATACTTATATATTTTATCAATTTAATTCTAATTTTAATTTAATTAAATAAATTTAATCCCCTAATCATGTGTCACCAAATGATTGAAAGTTTTTTTTTCTTAATTTAGGTATTATTTCATTTTAATTATTTTTTTTCCAATCAGATTGTGATACGTGTCACCATTTGGTTGAAGGAAAAGCAATGCATGAAGAAATAAGCTTAAGATGGTGACAACATTAATATGATTAAAATCAATTTTTAAATTAAATATTTTAAACTATACAACCTGATAAAAATTAAATAAAATATAAATGATTCATATATTTTATTTTTAATAAAAAAAATTAAGTTAAAAAGATAACACATATAATTTTAAATTAACGTATTAAAAGAGTAATTGTCCTATTGATATTCAAATTAAACTATATCTTTTAATATATATATATATTAAATTCATCAATATAATTCACCTTTTTTTTTCCAACAACTTCTAGGAAGACCCTAGATAAAATGGTTTCAAGAAACCCACTTTTCCAACTAAAGCCTAATGGCTACTCATTTTTGAGTGCATCCAAACAAGATTAACTTGAGGACCTTGTTACTTTAAAGCATGCCCGAATGCCAATTGCATGATTAGATTAGTCATGTTACGTTCACGCTACTTGAGATAAAAAAAAAAAATTAAACCAAAAAAGGTTAATTACCAAAGTAAGCATTAGGATGTCACCTAAAATGCATCCTGGGAAACGCCTAATTCTCTCATAAGCTTATATTCAAACTATTTGAACAAAAAATCGAATTGAGATTAAAGAGCAAAATCCATTAAACCACAAATAATTCAGCATAACAAGTATGGAATTAAGCATTAGGATATCACCTAAAATGCTACCATGAAATCTCCTGATTCCCTCATAAGCTTATATTCAAACTAAATGGAATGATAAAAACAAAATATAAAATTGAATTAGCTAGAGAGTAAAATCAATTAACCCACAAATAATTCACATAAAGAATGATGTAATTAATCATTAGGGTTTGTTTGTTTTCCTGTAATTAGTTTTCCGGAAAATGTTTTTCTTATTTTCTAGTGTTTAGTTGACAGAAAACAGTGATCAATGTAATTTAGTTTCCTAGTCAACTGAATTTACTTTGCATTTTCTAAAAAATGACTTACCATATGATTTTTCGTAAATCATTTTACGAACTTTTCACTTAAAAAAAACTCAAAACATTTTTTTATATATTTAATATTAATATATTATTTTAGCATCATTTAATAAAACTATTAATTATTAAATTATATTTATTGATAATTCTAATAATATAATATCATTTTCTTGCTATAATTATAATATTATAATATATAATATTATACTTTTATTTTAATAATATATAATGAATTATTAAATAAATTATTGTAATATTTCAAAAATAATAATATTATTTTATTAATAAATAATATTATTTATTGTATTTGATGTTTATAATAAAAAAAACTTATCAACCAGTGGAGATGAATTACATAACATCATCCAAATAACGTAAAATGATTTTCAGAAAATATTTTTCAAGAAATGTAATTCATTTTGCAGAATTAATTTTTCAGAATCTGTTTTCCGTGGAAGAAACGGACCACTGGTATATCACCTAAAATGCTACATCGAAATAGCCTGATTCCCTCGTAAGCTTATAATCAAACTAAATTGAACGAGAAAAAAAAAAGAGTAATCCATCAGACCACACATAATTCAGCATATGGATTACGAAAGCATTAGAATGAAAATAAAGAGTAATCCATCAAACCACAAAATAAAATGCTACCCCAAAATCGCCTAATCCTCCTAAACTTAAAATCAAACTAAATGGAACAATAAAAATAAAGTGTAAAATTCAATACATTCCAACAAAGATTGACCGATGCATATAAAAAAGGAAACATCAGTAAACAAACAGATTACTTCAAGGATGGAAGAAAGTAGCATACCTCGAAGAAAGTACCTAATGCCGTTGTTTGATTAAGCAAACAGCAGCAGCATCAGCAACGATAATAAGATTCAAAATTATAACATAAAAAAATAAAACCCTAGATTTGAAAAAGCACTTATACAGCAGCGAATTATACAGAAGAGAAACAAATTTATTTTAAAAAAATGAAAAAATAATATCTAAAAAGATGAAAAGTGTGAGGAAATGCTAAAACTTCGTTACTTTTACGTCAAAATTGTTGAAATGTCAAAACTTGAAAAATTAGTTAAGTTAGGCACCTAATATTGCAATGTCAAAATTAGGTGTAACAATGTCAAAATTAGGTGCAATAATGTTTGAAAATTAAATGGGTAAATTATAAACTTTAGTCACTAAACTTTAGGGTATTTATAAGATTAGTCCTTAAGTTTCAACTATAAATACCCTAGCTCATTTAGCTTCAAAACCATCCCAAAGCATTCTAGCTTTCTTCCAATACTAGAGAGAATTTAGAGAGTTTCTTGAGAGTTATTTTCTCATTTTTATCAAGAGAGAATTATCATTGTTTTTTCCTTGGTAGATCGAGAGAGGTTGTAATTCCTATTTTCTCATAGTGAAATTCTTCTACCGTTGCCTGTGGTTTTTACCCTATATTATTTAGGGGTTTTCCACGTAAATTTTGTGTCTATTTTTATCTTCATTTTTATTTTCTCAAATTATCAGTTGCGATTTTGCTCTATCCGATAGCCGTCTTCCGCAACAATTGGTATCCGAGCTAGATTAGAGTGTGTAATATCTGCTTATTGTCTTTGTGGTTGCCACCAAAAGGTGGATCCTCCAACATAAAAAAGTAAGAAG